GGTGTAAAACCAGCATAAGAAGTTGGAAGATAAAACCTGGATTTCACCTCTTAAACACGCTTCTCACCCTTGGTCTCCACAGTCCGACTGCCACATACACCTGCAGCCTCAAGTGGCCCCGCCCCGCATGGAGGAGTACCTCAGCAGCATCCATCTGCACCCGCAGGCCTCATCGCAGCTCAACAAGTTCAGAGTCTTCCTGGGCGCGGCGCGGCTGCTCGACTACAGCATCTCAGAGGAAGTGACGAAGGTAAGAAGTCGTGGTAGCGTTTAAGCTCTTCGTCTGGGGTTGAACCGCTCGGCCATGTTTTTTTTTTTGGTTTTACTCCCCAGGCGGTGGAAGACGACTTTGTGGATATGAGGAAGGATGACCCCCAGAGCATATCTGCAGACGACCTCCACAGGTTGCTGGTTGTGGCGAGGTGAGCCGTCTGAACGCTTGATGGTCGGATTTGGATGTTTAAGGCGATGATGAATGTGACCTTTCTCTCTCTCTCTCTCTGCAGGCTGCTCTCGCTGAGCCTGGGACAGACGTCTCTGTCCAGAGACAGCTGGCTGAGGGCCAAACACATCGAGACGCTACGAAGGAGCCGGATGGAGCAGCATAAGAGCGTCAATGGCAACGAGCCGTGATTGGAGCCATTTGTGATGTTTATTTTTCCATGTGCCCTTCCGTTAGGGTTTTTTTTTTTTTGTGTATACTAAGCTGCATATGAACTTAGATTTGTATTTTCATTTGGGACTAAAGATATAAAAGACTGTACTATCAGACACTGATGCCATTTTGCTCTAAATTAAACCTATTTTTGGAGCTTTCCTGTTTTTCAACATTGCAAACCCAAAATAAATCTTTATATTCATTCTTAAAATGTGCTTTTGTTTTTTATTACCCCAACATGTAAAGGTACATCCCAGTGAATTAGACATTTTAAATATTTTTCACTTAACAAAAGTTTTAATTGAATAATAGGTTTTTACCAAATACTTAAAACTAACATGGACTTTTTTTGTTCAGGATGTATTTCCTGAACCTTTAAAGGATTTAACGTTTTCCAGTGTAGTCCTGTTTCTCTGACTGTGACT